TATAGGAAAAGTAATGTTTGAACATATATATTTATATACAGGCTACTTTTAGAATGTCAATCAGATTGGAAAACCAGAATTGTTGTATAATAAGGAACAGAATCTATGGATGATTTGTTAACACTTGAGGCACGTCTCTGTTTGACCACCACCAAACTGTGTTCTTATTTTGAAGGCGGAACACAAAAGCATCCTTTGCTTTGTCTCATTCCATCCAAATTCATGAGGCCATTTTGAGCGACGGCCACGGAGGGGCACGGCCATAAAATCTGTCCTGTTATCGTTGTTTTTATGACACAGGAAGAGAGTTTGTCACTGATGTGAAATTGAATATCATAATTCCTCAAACAAAGCTCCTGTCTGCGCTGTCAGCGAGTCGCGACGAGGCAGTTCATTCGCTGCTTCGCCAATGCGAGCACATAATAACCCGACAGTTGTCAGAAGCGCCCGGAAATTTATGACACAAAAAGATGCATATCATTGCAGTAATCTCTACTGCTTCGCAAGCTCCTCACTAGAAACACATGTTATAAGTGAGGCATTAAAATTCATGAAGGTTGTCGTTGGTCCTAAACGCATGTGGTCTGGAGGTATTTACATGTGTGACACGTCATGGAAAGCACTGATAGTGTTTAAAAAATACAATTCTTTAATTTTAGCAAATAGTAAGTACGTCTCTCCTTTGTGGAAGAACTGTAACCTTTGATAAACCTGCTCTGGCAACATCGGTGATTGACGACAGAAGAATTAATTGAATCGGAGATTGAGAGAGACAGAGGTCCTGAGATGACAGAAAGGGAGGGAAAGCGGTTGAGGTCTAAATAAGCTCTTTACAGAGAAACACTCTCGCTCTCATGCCTATAGAAACAAGTCAGTGTATCACAGCATTGAGGACAAGGTGATAGCAAGGCCAGAGAGACACAAATCAATACTTCATTTGCTGGGCAAGATTTACTTTCCGTTGCCATATCAAACCCATCAGATATTGTGAAAGAAAGGGGTGAAAATTCAGAATTGATGAAAAACTTATTTTAAGACCTTTAAATTTCCCAAGACGTGCTAAATGTCAGAGAGGGCGCAGGCCTATTATAAGTCAAGACACATTTGCGAGGTCAGGCCCTGTATATGTTTAAACTCTGTTTTAATATCTCAGCGAACAATATCTCTTTGGGGAAGAACATTTACTGCAATTCACATAAAAGTTGTTTTGCTAATTGCTTGATTTAATGGAGGAAAGGAAAAGGAACCAAACAAGCCTCTGACGAGTGTCCTACTTAATGTAACCCATTTGTCTTATGTGGTGATTTCCAGTGAAAAATTGGCCACCACGATGCTAGAATTTTGTAGGTTGTTGCCAGGGCATTGCTATGCAGTTGCCAGTGTGTTTATGTGGTTGCTAGGGCATTGTTTTGCACTCTGGGATCTTCTGTATGGTTCTTCCCGAAGAAACTATAAGTGGTGTTTGTTAGCGCCAAAGCTGGCACTATGCTAGGGTGTTGTGAATGATTGCTAGGGTGTTGCTATGCAGTTGCTAGGGTGTTCTGGGTGGTTGCTTGGTGGTTTCTTTACAGTTTGTGAAGAAATTGTGAGTGGTGCTTGTCAGTAAAAAAGCCAGCACCATGCTAGAGGTGTTGTAAAGGTTGCTAGGCTGTTCTAGGTGGTTGCTAGGGCATTGCTTTGCAGGTGATTGCTATGCAGTTGCTAGGCTCTTCTGTGTTGTTGCTTTACACTTTCTGAAGAAATTGTAAATGGTGCTTGTCAGCACCAAAGCACAATGCTAGGGTGTTGCTATGCAGTTGCTATGGGATTCTGGATAGTTGCTAGGCATTTATATGTGGTTGCTTTGGTGTTTTAGGTTGATGCTTATGGTGTTGCTTTGCACTTTCTGAAAGAATTGTGAGTGGCGCTTGTCTTTGGAAAGCCGGCACTATGCTAGGGTGTTGTGAGTGGTTGCTAGGGTGTTCTGGGTAGTTTCTAGGTGGTTTCTTTACACTTTTGAAGAAATTGTGAGTGGTACTTGTCAGTGAACAAGCCAGCACCATGCTAGGGTATTCCTATGTAGTTGCTAGGCTATTCTAGGTGGTTGCTAAGCCATTACCTTGCAGTTGTTAGGGTGTTGCTATGCAGTTGCTAGGGTTTTCTGTGTGGTTGCTTAGACTTTCTGAAGAAATTGTGAGTGGTGCTTGGCTGTGCAAAGCTGGCACTATGCTAGGGTGTTGTGAGTGGTTGCTAGGGTGTGTTGCTATGCAGTTGCTATGGGGTTGCTAGCCATTTTTAGGTGGTTGCTTGGAGGTTTTAGGTTGAAGCTAGGGCATTGCTAAGTGCTTGCTTTACACTTTCTGAAGAAATCGTGAGTGGTGCTTGTCTGTGGAAGCTGGCACTATGCTAGGGTGTTGCTATACAGTTGCTAGGGTGTTCTGGGTTGATACTAGGGTATCACTAGGTGGTTGATAGGGTTTTCTGGTATCATCACAGTCAATAGTAAGACTAGAGACTTCTAATCCTTAGAATAAGCATGATAACCTTTGAAATAGTTACCATTTTGCAAACCAAGTGATACAGTGGATGTGTCTGGTATCTGAAAGCAGCATCAATAATGTGAGAAAAGCTTAAGGGAATCTCTTCTAATGATTAGCTAACTTCAAAATCAATTCACAATCTACAAAGCCAAAGTAAACAGCACCTACAGTACAGTCTACTTCGATCTGTGATTGGTGTATGTTCTTGATCAATAACTGTACATCTCAGTTTGATCAGTATAGTTCTTATAACCATCATTCATCCGGTACTGTCCCCTTAATAATACAGTACACATCCTATTGTTTGACTTATATGCAGAAAATGTACATTTACTATAGACTACATGTCGTTTGCAATGACTGACAGCTGCGTTGGAGAAAAGCCCCCTCTTTCCTTATTCATTGGTATAGTCGAGTGCCCCATTATCATACTCTTCAGACCTCCAGTAATTATTGAAAAGGTCAAAGGGCACCAGGCCTTCCTCCTCCAAGGGGGTTAAACTGTGTACTGAAGTTCCAAAGGCCCAGGAAGTGACAGTGTCATGTGACCTATGACTAGGGATATGCCGGTATCAAATTTTCATGTTGCGATTAATTGCTAATGCTTTTATCACGGTATGCGGTATTATCACGATATTGAAATTTAGTTTTAAAAAAGTGCTGTCATAATACAGTATAACAGGTTTAATAACTTTTTTCTTATAACAAAAATAACTGAACATTTAAATGCAATAAAGCAATACAGAAAAATGTATAAAGTTAAAAGTTTTACACAGATTAAAGTGCAAAAGACCGAATACCGGCACAAGTCTACCTATGACATATTGACAAATATTCATGTTCATAAAAGACGCATAAACTGGGTTAGCTGGGTTGCACAATCAATATCAAACTCTACAGCAGTCAATGACAGATATATATATATATATATTCTCATTTCATATTCATGCAACTTTCAGTGTGATTTATCCATAAATGTACTACTCTCTCATATATTACAAAATCCATAGAAGCCTTTTTTTTATTTTTACCCCTAAAATTCCAAATACTCACAATTCATAGCACAAAAACAATCTGGTTTGAATCAGCAGCTGTCTTATTGTGAAATGAATGTGTCACTGTCAGAAAAGAGGGTCCAAGGAAGTGTGGACCTGCGCTGCCCTTTACTAATTACCCCAGCCTCCCTTCAGTCAATTCATTTCATAAGGGGGACTCCTGGCAAGCTGCTGCAATTGTGAGGACTCTGCAGGGGACATCAAATGCCCGGTGACTACTGCTGAGGACCCAAACCCACTGCATTATGTGGAATTAGTGTGTATTGATTAATCCTTTCTAGATTATGGATTTGGTCCCTTATTCATTACTTTCGAGGTCAGCTAGCGGTCATGTTTTAAAAAGGGTTCAGTTTTACTGTACTGTACTTTGAGTGTGGTTTTAATGCTAGAAATGTAGTGTTTTATGAATATTGACTGAATATTAATACTTCATTAAAGTCACTATGCAGCCTATTTAACGTCCATAAAGTGACACATCTCAGTGAAAAAGAATATTCAACTTTTTTTATCCATTAGGAATTAATCATATAATATTATAATATTGTGAAAGATGTTCTCTAAATGACCAGTGACACTTTTAATAATTTTTAATTTTTTACTATCATGGACAAATAGAAAATTATTAAAAATTACATTAACATTATTTATTTTTTATATTAAATAAAAAATCACAATGTTCTAGATTATTTAATCATAGGTAAATTCAAATATTTATTTTTATTATTATTACTACTACTTTAGAGGTTATCTAACAGTGATCTTTTAATTAACTAGTTTTACTTAGTTTTAGTTTTACTGTACTGTACTTTATGTGCGGGTTGTGCTGCTTTAAATATAATGTTCTATGAATATTGATTTTAATGAACACGTCATTAAAGTAAATATGCAACTGACTTTATGTTTATAAAGTGATAAATTTCTGAGTAATATTAAATTTTTTATTTTATTTATTTCTTTTTAATCCATCATGAATTAACTGGATTGTGGAAAGATGTTCTCTAAATTACCAGTGGCACATTTCTTTTTTCTTTTTTTTAAATTAATTAACATTTCTTTTGATAATCAAGGACAAATAACATATATATATATATATATATATACAGTATACATACGTAAATCTCTTGATACACATATACAAGTGCAGGGCAACAATTAATCGTGATTAATCGCATCCAAAATAAAAGTTTTATATAATATATGTGTGTGTCCTGTGTATATTTATTGTGTATATATAAAGACACACACATACAGTATATTTGTAAAAAATATTTACATGTATATATTTATATTCATATAATTTATAT